GTTTGTAAATTATGTTTATTCGTTGTGCAGCAGTTTGTATGCGAATGCAAATAGGACTCGCAGTGATCTATTAGATTTTCGCACCATCCTTTCATCTTTCTAAACGCGATTCTCATGAAATGACGCTGGCACTCAGCGTATTCAACGGATCATCGTTAATAATGACCATGACCGGCACGTTTATATGCACCCAACAATATTAGTTTGTTACACACGTGCACTCGGCGCAACGTGACGCAACGCACGCGGCTCCGTTCGCAAATTATTTATGATAAAAGTTAATCTAGATCCAAACTGCGGATTCTGCGACGAGAACGAGCGCAACGAGCATGTTTGCAGAAGCTCGAAAAACAATTCGAAACGGTGCTGCATGTTTTCGAATTTATCGAAGTTAAGAGAAAGAAAAAGAGGAAGAAATCAATTTCAAATTTTTCCATTTGTAAAAACAAACGTATATCGCGAAACTTCGGGAAACATTTTTAAAATCGGTGCTAAATTATCAACGTTAGTGTAGAAAAGAAATTTCTAATTAATTGCGTACTTAATTGTAATTAATTGCGTAGTTTTTGAAAATTAATTGCTTCGATTTCGCGATGGTCACATGATCGTGTAATTCTGTATCGATGCAAAATTTATGTCAATGTCAATTCATGCCTGTATCCCGTGTCAATTTATTTGTGCACGCGTTTCCCAGCAATTGGTGCAATTGTTGGTGCAATTGTTGATGCATTTGACGTAAACGTTGCTATTTTCTTTTCGAAAATTAATAACAGCATTTTCATCTGCATTATTCATAAACCATTGATTTTTAAATCGTCTATGCTTCGTACGACTCGTTTCGAGCGAACTCATAATTTTGTTAACGTTATTAAAAATATCAATTTCTGATTGCCAATAAAACCAGAGAAGTTGAAAACTATAAAAATGATAAAATCGAAAATAATCGACGATCCGCAGTCTTTTCGTGAGAATTGAATAAGTACCGTTGCACGCGATGCTCATTCAATCTACTTTGCGTCACCCGTAGCAAACAACAATGCGCTCGCTTTGACGCGATATCGAGTCATCCGTCGATAAGGTGTTAACGCCTGCACCTCTCGCTACTTTCTATCGTGGCGTGGATAAAGTATGCTTCTAATGTAGCACCGTTTCACGAAAATCATGCACGGGACGCTGAAAAATCATTCGCTCGTATCTTCGAGCTGATTTTTACAAATTAGACCTGCAGATCTGCGCGACATTTCCAGCTTACCTTTCGATAGTAAACTTCGGTTTTCGATTTTGCGCACCCAGCAAAAGCACCCCTCGACAAAATGACACGACGACAGAAGCAGAATAAGCGCGTTGTCACCATCGAACTGCAGATCACTGTACAAAATAATTACTGTCCGCACTCGCCGCGAGGAAACGCGTACTTCGAATTCATCCTAATTATTTACTGCATAATTACTGCGTAATTACGTATTACCGCATAATTACCACATAATTGCGTATTACTACATATTACTATGTACAGTAAATTCTCCCTGATCGACGCTCAGAGATCGTGCACAAAAATGGACAATTTAGGAGACATGATTATTCAAGCCTTGCGGCTCATTTGTATAGTTACCGATTATCAAATTGTCCATTTTTGCGTACAAGCTGAGCGTCAATTACGGAGAATTTACTGTAATTACGTAATTACCACGCAACACGTAATTATTATGTCTAAACGTCGTCTGCTCGTTTCCATCGCAAGCGCACAGAATCGGCGGTTCGATGATCCGAATCGAAAATCGGTGAAACCCGATCGATTCGTTCGCCGGTCCCCGCGGTATCGGCGCACAGAAAAGAAAGCAATCTTACTTACAAGAAAGACAAAGCCAGCGAAAGCTCCGAGTGAAACCTCGACATAATACGAAAACGAGCATAAGCCAAGCTCTCTTCGAAATTCAATGCGCCCGGAACTACAGAGCGAAGCCCGCCCCCCTTAGCACTTTTTATCGTATTCCGATAAAGCCATTCGGCGGAACAGGCACATTTGGCTGATTACAGTTTCCACGGGTCTGAAAAATCATCCTAAATTGGAAGAGGCCGCCCCGGTAAACTCGCCGCGAACGTTCGAACTATATCGAATCGGCGAGCGACTACGCGGCTGCTTCGGCCGAGGTAATCAAGGACGGATCGGTCTCGACGGAAAATGGAAAAACGGGCTCCGGTTGCGTAACGGAGAACACTATTGCCCGCGAAAACCGAACCGTACGACGATCGCTTCGCTCCGCGCGATCTCGGTGTCGCGCGCACTCGTTCACTTACGCTCGACGATGTTGTCCCATCGGCGGACCGATTCTGAACGGGTCCCGACTCGGCCCGGATCGGCGCGCGACCGTTTTTCCCGCGATGCGGCCCCGAAAATCGCGATCACTGGAGATTAGGGAACCGAGGAAAGGGAAGAAGATGATAGAGAGAGAGGGGGGGGAGAGATCGTTTCCGATTTCAGAGTCCGAGCAAGTGAGTCTTTTGATTCGGGACGAGCCGACACGACGCGAGCACGTGAGCCCGACGATTGACCGAAGAGCGCGAGCTCCGCTCGCGTAAATCACCGGCCACCGACTGGGTATCCTCGCTATCGTCCTATCGACACTGTTCTCTAGGCGAGTTAGGCGATTTCGTTGCCATTGTTTCTTCCGCATTGTCAACGGGCGGCCTTCGCGCGTCGCGATCCGCGAACGATCTTATGCGCCCAGCAATTTTGATACTGCGGCCAGCTGTGTTCCGATGATATGTGCCGGCTTTTTTCGCGGTCAAATGGACAATTTCGGAGGAAGAGATACACGATTATTCGAGCATCGCGGCTAATTTTTACAGTTGCCGATTGTCAACGATTATAAAAACTAGGTGCAAGGCTCGAACAATCGTATCTCCTCTCCTCAAATTGTCCATTTCGGTGCACAATCTGAGGGTCAATTAGGAAGAATTTGTTGTAACTGCATTGTTATAATTAATTTGAAATGGAGACTTATCGTTACAATCCGTCGATTCGATAAAAAGACAAACGATTGACAAATAATCTGAAGTTGTTTATCGTTCGAAAGTTTTACTGTACATTCTCGCTTGAATTCAACCGTCCGTATTAACTTATTTATTTATTATCGCGACTGTAAAATGGATTCGACTAATCCGAATCAACTGAAACGTTTGTTGAAGTCGATCGACGTTCGTTCGAAAGTTTACCGTACTTTCGAACGTTTTTCTAAATGTACGAATTAATTTGTTCATTTATTGTGCAACAACTGTTAAATTACCGTGACTTGCACGAGTCAATTCGAAAATTCTCCGAAATCCATGAACGTTTGCGCGAACTCGAACCTTGGTTTTACGATTAATTTAGGTCGCATAAATTCGATTTCTTCGATCC